GTACGTTAAGTGTACTCAACAGGCAATATACCGCTCCAATCCTATAACCGGAAGAGTAATTGCAAAAAGATATTCATCTGAGACACTGTGTCAAGTAGGAAAGTCAGTGTGCCTGATGCATCTTGACAAGCTCTATCCAATGGTGTATGATTCAAAACATTTTGAGTACGTTAAGTGTAGTCAACAGCGAATATACCGCTCCAATCCTACAAGCGGAAGAGTAACTCCAAGGTATATTCATGTTAGACACTGTGTCAAGTGGGAAAGTTAGTGTATCTGATGCATCTTGACAAGCTCTATTCGATGGTGTATGATTGAAAACATTTTGAGCACGTTTAGTGTAGTCAACAGGGAATATACTGCTCCAATCCTATAAGCGCTAGAGTAATTCCAAGGGATATTCAACTCAGACACTGTGTGAAGTGGGAAAGTCAGTGTATCTCATGGATCTCGACAGCTCTATTCAATGGTGTATGATTCAAAATATTTGGAGTACGTTAAGTATAGTCAACAGGCAATTTACCGGTATAAAGCTATAAACCGGGGAGTAAACCCTAAGCGTATTCATCTGAGACACTGTTGTGAGAAGGTAGCTGACCACTTGACCAAATTGCTAGTCAGTGAAGATTTTGTTTCATAGTTATGAACGAGAATGGAATGGAATATTTTATTGTTGAAAGTAGCATGTATATATATATATATATGTGAGAACAAGGAAAGGTGAAGAATTGTGTGGAAAGGTTACCAGAATAAAGAAGAAGACGAATAGAGAAAAGAAGATATAGATGAAATACATATGACATCGTAAGAGAGAACGGGAGAAATGATATACCTATGAAGATGTCACTTAACACACCTTTCCTGCTACTAGATGAAGGGTCCCGCTCATCAATACAAAAAAAAAATAATCAATACATTATAAGGTTGACATAGATAAAACTTTTTGTTTTAACGAGGATTTATTGTCATTGTTACATACTGACAGGATCGAGAAGAAGCTGCCGCATTCTTCCCATATAATACTGCCAGAGTTAAACGATCGCTGTTATGCTTATATAATGATTCGAATTCGGGAAATATGGAGTTTGTGCATGTGGCCGTCGTTGATATGTTTGACTTCATAGTTCAATCGACGCAATTGACGGATAACACGGAATGGACCATAATATTTGGGTGAGAATTGTCGAAGATTCTTTAACATCATTTGCTTAATGAAGACCAGCTGTCCAGCTTTGAGCGGTGTTAAGTCTTGACGTCCAGTGTCGTATGTTCGTTTATATACGTTCTGCTGTTGTTTGATATTATACCAAGCTGTTGATCTGGCTTGTTTCAAGAATCGAACGAGTTGGGAATAGTAATCATTGACAGTGGATAATTTTGTAATATGACTGGGAGTATCAAACGGAAGGATTGCATCTCTGCCATACATTAGTTTGAATGGTTCTTTTTGAGTTGTGGATTGTTCAGATGTATTATATGCGAATGTAACGTATGGTACGTATGCGTCCCAGTCACGTTGCTGTTGGTTGACATATGTGCTGATTGAGTCAACTAGCGTAGCGTTATATCGCTCGGTAAGACCATTACATTGAGGATGATACGTTGTTGCTGTAATATGGTTGATACCACTCCTCGATGCGATTGCTTCGAAAACGTTGGACATGAAATGAGTACCACGATCGGTTAATAATTGTTTTGGAACACCATATTGTAAAATGGCTTTTTCTACTAAGAACTTAGCTGCAGTTTCGGCTGTGCAATTAGCTGTTGCTTGTGTTATGACGTATCGAGATAAATAATCTGTACATACCAAAATGTACTTGTTTCCATTGGAGGACGGAGGAACTGGTCCGATGAAGTCTAATCCCATAAGATCTAGTATGCCAGTCGGAGGTTCAATCGGTTGTAATTTGCCAGTTGGTTTGGTTCTGTCGATTTTAAATTGTCTGCATTTGTACATGATAATACATATTGTTTGATTTTGTTGTACATACCGGGCCAGAAGTACCGATCTCTGATTTTATTCCATGTCTTATTAATTCCCAAATGACCAGCTGTTGGACTATTATGATATGCTTGTAACAGTTGTTCAATCATAGACGTTGGAACGTATGGTACTTTGAGTATCATGTGGTTTGTTCGATAAAGGTTCTTATATACGATTCCATTCTCTAGTGTATATGATTGAGGTTGTTTACCACTTGCTAATTGATCATATAATTGCTTGATTCTCTTATCTTTCTGCTGCTGTTCTTGAATTTTGGTTGAATCAAATGTTGATGTGATGGCTGTACTGATGTTGTTAATTTGACCATGCATTACTTCTAGCTGTTCTTCGACGATGTTATCTGGTTGTTGAAGTGGATATCTAGACAGGCAATCAGCGACGCAATTAGACGAACCAGATGTATGTTTTATATTAAACGAATATTCTTGCAGCTGTAATGACCATCGGTCGAGTCGTCCATTTTTCGATGACTGCTTGTTCAACCAACATAATGGATGATGATCAGTAATGATAGTGAATTCGCGACTATATAAATACGGGCGTAATTTCGTGATACACCATACCATTGGCAAGCATTCTTTTTCGATGACTGAATATTTTTGTTCTCGTTTAGATAATGATCGTGACAGGTATTGGATTGGTTGTAGATGTCCATCCGGAGTAACTTGATGTAATACGCCACCAATACCCATGTTGGATGCATCAGTATTGATTTTCAATTTTAACTTTGATTTGTCGTTGTAGAATGCCAATAATGGATATTGTGATAATTTTTGTTTTAAAGTATCGAATGATTTTTGGCATTCATTCGTCCATTCGAACTTCATATTTCTGGTCTTAAATACGTTCAATGGAGCAGCTATACTGGCAAAGTCTTTAATAAATCGGCGATAAAATTGTGCCATCTGCACGAATGAATATGCTGCTTTAGTTGAAGTGGGTATTGGAAAATCAATTGTTTTCTTCACGTTCGTCGTTGTTGGTTTAATACCTTCTTGCGTAATTCGAAAACCAAGATAGTCTAGTTGTTTCCGTGCTAAAGAACATTTGGCGGCGTTTAGTTTAACATTAGCTTTCTGTAATGCATCAAGTACCAAATCTAGATGTTGTACGTGTTTGTCAAATGCTTTTGAATAAATAATAATGTCGTCCAAATACACCAAGGTGATATCCCATCGTAGCATTCCTAATACGGAGTTAATTATGCGTTGGAACGAAGCAGGTGCATTCGACAGTCCAAATGGGAGAACATTGAATTCATACAGGCCATCAGTTGTCACAAATGCTGTCTTCTTTTTATCTTGTTCGTCGATGGGTATCTGCCAATAACCAGCCTTGAGATCTAAAGTCGTAAAATATTGAGATCCAGCCAACTTGTCGATGATATCGTCGATTCTTGGAAGCGGATAAACATCTCGTTCGGTGATCGAATTCAAACGTCTATAGTCTACGCAGAATCGAGGGCTACCGTCTTTCTTTTTGATGATCACGACGGGTGACGACCATGGACTCGAACTTGGACGGATAATATGGTTTTCCAACATTTCTTTAACTTGTTCATTGATAATTTGTGTTTCTTTCACTGATTTTCGATATGGATATGACTGGATCGGTTGATAATGTGGTTGGATTGGAATACGATGATAAATGTTGTTCGTTTTCATAATTGATGGTTTTCATGTGTTGAATATTGATTTATGTTTAAATAATACTGGTCGTATTTGCTCTTGTTGTGTTCGTGGTAAGTGAGATATCAGTTCATCGATTGTGCTAGTAATTGGTTTCTGTTGTCTCGAGTAGGATGTTATGGCTGAAATATGATGTTGATAATTGTCTTGTAGGTCTGGACACACATAACAACACTTGTTGTCTTCATGATATTTGACCTGACCTATAGTTGTTCCTTTAGGAATTGTTTGTATTGGCGTTGTTGTATTCAATAACGTTGTTGTTAATCATTAATATAGCATGCGGTGCGAAAATATGTTGTTTGTTCAGCTGTTTGGAGGATGGAGTAAATATAACTGACATTGGTGGTGCTGCTGTTGTTGTTTGGATAAACTTTGCTGATAGTGGCGGAATGGTAACGTCGTTCATCGTTTTCACATTAAATACTTGTTGTTCGTTCGGCTGTTGGTCGAATCTGACCGTTATCTGTTGTTGTTTGGCCTCGAAGGTGAGATGTTTATTAGCATAACTGATATTAACATGATGTATACCGCAAAAGTCACCACCCAATAGTAAATCGGTACATAAATCTTCGATGACGAATGTGTTCACTTTCATTTGTATGCCATTTATCGTAATAGGTAGCACGATCATACTTGATATGTGTAGCTGACTGTTGTTGGCTGTTTTATATGAAGTTGTTGTTGGATAGATATATTGGTTGATGTTGAGCTTCTTCAGGTACGCTGCATTAATGGCTGATATTGTTGATCCCGTATCTATCATTGTTTTTGTTTTGACGTTGTTCACTAAGACTATAATATGTATTAATGGTGATGGATTTTGACGATAACGGGTGACGTTACCATCCGATGGCACCCGTATTAGTTTAAATGACTTGGGCATTGATATGCATAATGTCCAATGCCGCTACAATTGTAGCATTTAAATTGAGATGATTTTCGTGGTGGAAATTGGCGAAATCGGTTATTATTATTATTATTATTATTATAGTTTTGTTGTGGCCAGCGACGATTAGAATCCGATTGATTGTTCCAAATGCGACGATCATTTTGTGAACTGTTCTGGCTGATTCGAGTTCGATGAAGCGCCGCTGTTGTTTCATTCATTTGTTCATTTGTTACCGAAGACGTTAGTGTCGGCGATGGTTGTGTAATCAGAGCTGCTGCTGCTTCTGCTCGTTTTGCATGTTCGAATAAGTCTTTACTTTTTTTTGGTTCATTCATTATGACGTGTTGTTGTAGAGATGGTTTTAAGCCACGTAAAAGGTATAAGATCTTTTCATCTTCTTGCATGTCTGGATTAAGTCGTGTACATAATGCTAAGATATCATAATAATATGACTGCACGGATTCATCGTTGCCTTGTCGTCGATTCATCAATTTGGTGGAGATTTTCAATTTGTGTATGGATCATATGAATGCATTGACAAATTGTTTTTTGAATTCGTCATAATCATTATCAAGGTTTTCGCTACGGTACCATTTCTTCACGACATCACCAAAATACATTGGTAATAATCGACAACGATCGTTCTTTTCAGTTTTGGTTGCTTCAAATAATTCATCGATGGTTTGTAGCCATGTTAATGGATCTTGTCCATCTGTACCCGTGAATGATTCTATTGGTTGGATATCTTTTAAAAGAAGACGACTTGATAAATTGGACGCCATATGTTCTTGTTGTTGTTTGTGTAGACGTTCGAGTCGTTTGGTTTTCAATTTCTCTTCGTATTGCTAAAGATTTGCTTGAGCTTGCTCGTCGGATGTACCACGTGTGTTGACCAGCTTGATGGTTTAATTATTTTACCAATACTTAAAGATTTTGGTGATGTTGGATTGACAAACAGTTGGCTAGTGCACCAATGTGAGAAGGTAACTGACCACTTGACCAAATTGCTAGTCAGAGAAGATTATGTTTCACACTTATGAACGACAATGGAATGGAATAATTTATTGTTTAAAGTAGCAGGTATATATATATGTGAGAACAAAGAAAGGTGAAGAATTCTGTGGAAAGGTCACCAGAATAAAGAAGAAGATCAATAGACAAAACAAGATATAGATGAAATACATATGACGTCGTAACACAGAACGGCAGAAATGATACACCTATGAAGATGTCACTTAACACTGTGTCTGATGCATCTTGACAAACTCTATCCAATGGTGTATGATTCAAAACATTTTGACTACTTTTACTGTACTCAACAGGCAATATACCGCTATAAACCTATAAGCCGGGTAGTAAAACCTAAGGATATTCATCTGAGACACTGTGTCAATTGGGAAAGTCAGTGTGTCTGATGTATCTTGACCAGCTCTATCCAATGGTGTATGATTCAAAACATTTTCAGTATGTTAAGTGTACTCAACAGGCAACATACCGCTCCAATCCTATAAGCGGAAGAGTAATCCCTACGGCTATTCATCTCAGACACTGTGTTAAGTGGGAAAGTCACTGTGTCTGATGCATCTTGACAAGCTCTATCCAATGGTGTATGATTCAAAACATTTTGAGTATGTTAAGTGTACTCAACAGCCAATATACCGCCCCAATCCTATAACCCGGAGAGTAATCCCTACGAACATTCATCTCAGACACTGTGTCAAGTGGGAAAGTCAGTGTGTGTGATACATCTTGACCAGCTCTATCCAATGGTGCATGATTCAAACCATTTTGAGTACGTTAAAGGTACTCAACAGACAATATACCGATATAAACCTCTAAGCCGGGGAGTAAACCCTGAGGATATTCATCTGTGACATTGTGTCAGCTGCGAAAGTCAGTGTGGCTGATGCATCTTGACAAGCTCTATCCAATGGTGTATGATTCAAACCATTTTGACTACGTTAAGTGTACTCAACAGGTAGTATGCCGCCCCAATGCTACAAGCCGAGAAGTAAACCCTAGGGATATTCATGTGAGACATTGTGTCAAGTGGGAAAGTCAGTGTGTCTGATGCATCTTGACAAGCTCTATCCAATG